AAGGATCCGTTTGGGAAGAGTTTTTCCAGATTTTTTTTGCTATTTTACTCAAAAAATAAAATAGACTATTTTAGCCACAAAAAATAAAACATCACATCCAATCCATAATCATTATACTCTTCTCTCATAAAAAAAGTCAAAAAAGTCAAAAAGCTAAAAAATCAAAAAACCCTTCTCAAACCAAACTTTTTAACTTAGGCTAAAATAGCCAAAAAAATTAAAAAACTAAAAAGTCAACCCACTTTTCAAACGGAGGCTAAGAGTAATATGATAATTTATCTTTAAAAAAAAAAGTTTGAATAGATACAATTTTTTTTTATTATTAGATCGATATAATTTTTTTATAAATTATATATTCCGAAAATTTTTATAAAATAAATTATTTAAATCATCAAAAACGAGACTTATAATAAAGCCATAAGCTTCTCAAATTTTTCCAAGTTGGCCCAACACATTTGGAAAAGTGAAAATCATAGACTAATGAAAAACAAATTATTCAACAAACAATGTGGGCTAAGACAGCCTTAGAAAAAATTGACTTTTTCAATCTATAGGACTTTTCAAACCAACCACCTTTGCTAGTTTTGTAGGTCACTTATATACACTTCCATTTGAGAAATTTGATTATCGTAGGTCATTCTTGTAGACACTTTCATATGAGAAATTAGATGAAGTCAGGGAATTCAATCATTTTTAAAATTTGATAATTTCTCTCCTATTTATAGTTTTTTAATTGATTATTGGACTTTTATAGTTATTAGAGTATGATTAGACTATTTTAATTATTTTTATATTTGTAAATAATATTTTATTGATTGACAAAAAAAAAACAAAAACAAAAAACAAATAGGACTATTTGTGCCTAGCTTTTCACTTACCCTTGTTTTAGAGGCCTAAATAAATGGAGGCCAATTTACCTGCTCTCTAGAGATTACTTCGGATGGACTTACATGGATAAAGTCCACTAGAGAGGCAGGGGTTTCTATTTGCATAAAAAAAAAAACAAGTTATCTTTATATTTTTCAGTACACTTTATTAAATTATTTAAGATTATAATTTAGTCTCAACACACTTTATATTTTTCTCAATTTATCTTTCAAGACACGCTAAAATAATAAACAACTTAAAAATCTTAAATTACACTACATTAAAAACCTTTTAAAAAACCCTGAGGCTTATTAATTATTTTAGAAGGTGACTCTCTCAATATGATTAAAGCAATTCAATCAACTAATCTTGACCTCTCTATTGTTGGGCTGGTAGCTGCTGATGTGCGAGAAAATTTGTCTGGTTTTTCAGCGGCAAAATGCACCCATATGTTGAGGACTGGCGATACTGCTCATGGTTTGGCTTGCAAAGCACTCCAGGTGAATAATTTCCATGCTAGGGTGGAAGAGGTTCCTCTGGAAATTCATAATTTTGTAATCTCGGATGTCCGAGAGTTGATTCTGTTTTTGGTAAGGTATAAAAAAAATAAAAAAATAAAAAAAAAATGTTTCTTAGATGTCATAGGATACAAAGTAAAATACTCCAGGAAAAATTCATCAACACCTCCCAAAAGGACAAAAATAAAATATTTATATAATAATGATATTGATAATAATGAAGAGTTTTGGTAAGGTAAATTATAATTTTGAAGTGAAAAAGAAGATGAAGAGAAAATAATTGAAACTTAGAGGAGAAGGTGAAGAGAGATAATATAAATAATATGTATAAGTGATTTAAGCGTATCATAAAAAAAAATATTTTACTTTAAAATTTAATATGTACTGTCATTCTTAATAAATTTACATTAAAATATAATACGAACTAAAATTTGGATATACAAAACTATTATTTAGGTGTGAATAGAATTACCCTAGAGAGGTTGATCATACTTCAAGCCCTTAAAGTTCAAATTTCAAATGCACTTTTTTGGCCTAAGCTTCAAATTTGTATCCTTTTCAATTTTTTTTTGGTCCATTCATTATTTAGCACTTTATTCAAAGGTTACAATTCAATAGTTAATCATTATCATATTTTGACTTTTAAATAAATGCTAAATGGTGACTAGATTAAAAAAAAAAAAATTTACTTGAGAAGATCCACTTTCAATGATGACATTTAAACAAGTGTATACATATATTATTAATGTATAAATCACATATAAGTTTATTTTGAGAAGTGAATTAAAAGTCACCTCCTAACTTTTAACTCACTTTCTCTGTCACATTAAAAAGTCAAAAATAAAAAAAAAAAAAAAACTTTTAACCATCTTTCCAATCTTACTAGGCTATGAGATATTACAAATGGTACTATCAAAATTGATTCATGCAAATGATGACCCTGCAGCCGTATTATAAGGTTATTTCAAAACGAAATATTAATTTTCTACCATCTCCTGAGGTTTGCTTAAAGTACAGATTGCCCATTGTGATTTGAAAAATTACATAAACTCCCTTGGTAGAATTTTTTATTTAACAAAATTAACTAAAAAAATAAAATTCATAATTACTCTCTTATGCAATAATAAAATTACTTAAATTATTAATTGAAACATATTTCTAACATTATGAAAAACTGTTAATTGACTTGATAATTTATTAATAAAATGGGAGATTTATTATGAAATTAAAAATCTCAAGATGGCAATTTGTATTTTAATCAAATCTCAAAGGGTGTATATGTAATTTACCCCAAAAAAATTGGCAAAAATACAAAATAAAAAAGTTTACTAAAGATAACAAAACACAAGAAATAAAAATCTCCAAACCAAACAAGTTTTGAATTTTTAAATTTCTAAAAATTATTTTCAAAATATATAATCAAATAAAATTTTAAAGTTTATCAACTATTTTTAAAAAGTGATCTTTCAAAATTGATTATGAAAACCAAAACAAACACACTAATGATGTTGACGATAATTGTGAGTTTTGGTAAAGTGGAATGGAGTTTTGAAGAGAGGAAAAAGATGAAGAGAAAATAATTGAAACTTAGAGGAGAAGGTGAAGAGAGATAATATAAATAATATGTATAAGTGATTTAAGTGTATCATAAAAGAAAATATTTTATTTTAAAATTTAATATGTATTGTCCTTCTTAATAAATTTACATTAAAATATAATGCGAACTAAAATTTGGATATACAAAGCTATTATTTAGGTGTAAATAGAATTACCCTAGAGAGGTTGATCATACTTCAAGCCCTTAAAGTTCAAATTTCAAATGCACTTTTTTAGCCTAAGCTTCAAATTTGTATCCTTTTCAATATTTTTTTGGTCCATTCATTATTTAGCACTTTATTCAAAGGTTACAATTCAATAGTTAATCATTATCATATTTTGACTTTTAAATAAATGCTAAATGGTGACTAGATAAAAAAAAAATATATATATATATATATATTTACTTGAGAAGATCCACTTTCAATGATGACATTTAAACAAGTGTATACAAATATTATTAATGTATAAATCATATATAAGTTTATTTTGAGAAGTGAATTAAAAGTCACCTCCTAACTTTTAACTCACTTTCTCTGTCACATTAAAAAGTCAAAAATAAAAAAAATAACTTTTAACCATCTTTCTAATCTTACTAGTAGGCTATGAGACATTATAAATGGTACTATCAAAATTGATTCATGCAAATGATGACCCTGTAGACGTATTATAAGGTTATTTCAAAACGAAATATTAATTTTCTACGTGTTTTTGTAACTGTCACAACCTCAATATAATTATCAATATGACTTTTTTCATCCATTTCACAATCCATAATTAAATATTTCTATTGCACTTATTGCATGAGCTTCATTAAATGATAGAACGACATCAATTTGATATATAAGTGTTAAGAATCGTGAATACACTCTTCTGCCGATAAGTTTTCTTTATTATTATAAATTCTTATTTATTTTATATTTATATTTGTGATCTATTTATATTTTATTCGCTGAATTTTCAACATTGCTAACGTTGGGGTCGATGACTTGAGTTGAGGAAGAGAAGGACAGAGGAAGGGCAATTTGATAATTCAAGGGTTAAATTTCATGCTTTTGTAATTATTTTATATGGTTTCATGTCTTTAACTTGCTGTTCTTTTTCATGCTTCCATAAAGTCTTATCATGTGGTTTTGCAATTTTGCAATCTGTACTATTATTACAGCTCGGTGATGATATATGCACTAATTAATGTACACACTAATATACCAATTGGTGTTATGCCATCATTATTGACCTCACCTATTATACAAATTATAAATATCAAAATTTTTTAAAATTATACCATATCATCTATCAATATATTGATTAATATATTAATTGATACATATAATATTACTCATTACTGCTTCCCAATCTTTTGTTTTTAATCCTCTTTTGTTTTGACTGGAAAAAATCTTCCGCATGACTAGCTTAGAATTTTATTCCTTAAAAGATAAAATTTATTTAATGTAATTAAATATATAATGACAAAAAAATGATTATATAAACTATCCCTTTCAAAAAATCTAATAAAGGGCAATTTCAACATATTGTTGCTATTAATTATGATTAATAATTTATTTTCAAAAAATTAAGTAAACTCAAGGGTGCTCATTTATTTGAATCAAATGCCAAAGAGTATTTGTCAAAAATCAAGTCATGTCTCTTATTGTCAAACTTAAGAAGGGTAATATAAGAGTTTCAAACATCATTTTAATTGACATCAACAAAAATCACGTGCGTATAATTTAATCAAGAATAATAAAAATAATGATTCATCCCTTAATATTGCACTCCCAGTTTCATCCCAGTGATATGGAATTAGAGATACTAAAGATGAGAAAGAGAGAGGAGTGTGAGATTACTTTACATGAAATTAGGCCACATCATTAGGGTTAAAATTGAGAAGGCAAAATTAAGAGATATAACACCACTATTTAATCAAATGTCAAGCTTTGACCGTGATAGTAATATATTTTTATCACATAAAAAGACAAGAATAAATATACATTCCATTCAACACAAATTGCATTAAAATATTAAAAAATTGTCTTAAATATTAATCTCTATATTCGAATAAAGAAAAAAAAATTCCTATAAACAACTAAACATCCAAAATATATAACCCTATACAAGAGTGATTTTTTTTTTCCCTTTTTTAGTGTGAGAGAGATACAAGAGTCATGTTGTGCAAGTGTAATGTTTTTCCCTTTCTTGTATATATATATATACATACAAACATAAAAATATATACAAAAATCTTATATCTTATACAGCTGAATTGCAAGACTATCACTTCAAAAAAAAAAAAAAAAACCAAAATGACAATTAATTGCGATAAAGTCACTGCCACATCGTTCTATATGAATTTTCCGTAAGAATTAGCTTTTCTCCTTATGTCTTTCATAGGTCTCCATTTTTTGTAAGAATTAGCTCTTCTCCTCATGTCTTTCATAGGTCTCCATTTTCCGTAAGAATTAGCTCTTCTCCTCATGTCTTTCATAGGTCTCCATCTTCGAACCTGCTTTTAAGAATTCAAAAAAGAGTACAAGTGAAGCACTTTAAAGATTCATCAATAAAGGTGAAGGATTATTTTTGCATGTCCTCATCAAAGTTCCAAGCCATTCCCAGAAATGACAACTATATAGATTAATCTATTAGGCATGCCAAACCCAACTGCAAGTGCATTAATGCTGTGTTTGGTTGGGGGATTTGAGGAGGGATTTGGAAAGGGAAATGGAAAAAGTAGGTGAAATGTGAAGAAAACATGCCTAAATTTCACCTAGTTTCACACACCTTTTCCCTTTCCCTTTCCAAATTCCTCCCTAAATCCCCCAACCAAACACAGCATAAGGGAACTGCTATGGTGTGAATCCTTTAAATGGTGCATATTATGTACCCTACCCTACCATAATATATGTAACATATCCACAATGTTTTATAGCAAACACCACAAGAAGTCATAACTTTTTCACTGAAATGTGATCTGTAAAATTTCTCATCACAAATGGTTCGTAACATTTAAGCCACACATCATTCATAACATAACCACAAAACATAACTACAAGTTTTGTAATTTTCACTATAAGGGTGCACATCATAGATTCACGTTCATCACACACATCACAAACATTCGTAACTTCCACTACGAAAAATATTAACTTCCTTACATGTGAACCCTTACTGGGAGCACATCATAGATTTCTCCTAGTAACTATAAAGGTGAAGGCAGACGGGGCAAAGTGGCAGTGTGATGACCAAAAATTGATTACACCTTTCTAAACCTGCAAGGAAAATAAATGCAACAACAAAGCAATCCTAAAGGTACCACAACAAGTGAAACATAACCACAACGTTTTATAGCAGACACTACAAGTCGTAACTTTTTTTTACCAAAATGATTCGTAACATTTTTTATCACAAATTGTTCGTAACATAACCACAAAACATAGCTACAATAGTTCATAACTTTCACTTTAAGGGTGTGCATCATAAATTCATATTTAATTTTTAGTGTAAAGTGCATAACACACATCACAAACATTCGTAACTTTCTTACGGTGTGATAGAAAAGGGATGCACATCATGGATTTCTCCTAGTAACTATAAAGGTGAAGGCAGACATGCCAATATGGCAAATCTGTGTAACTCAGCGTGATGTCCAAAAATTGACTACACCTTTCTAAACCTGCAAGGAATATAAGATAAATGCAACAACAATGCCATCCTACAACTAGAGTTTGGTCGGGATATGGGAGAAATTTCCCACCAAACTAAACCTATCAGTTTTATGAAAATTAACACCGAAATAAACCGCAACAATTAGCAACCAATCAAAACTGATGTGCATAGGGCCGGTTCAGTATGGTTTGATTTTGTAAGAACAAAAAAAATAAAAGAGGGAATAAATCATTTGAAAGCAATCACATCTACAGTCTTATGTCTCATGTAGCTAGTTTTAAACCCATTAATGATGACATGCTCTCTTGCACCATTTCGTCTCTCATATCTAAGGTTAACACATTTTTTACACGAGCAATATATCTTCGATCCTGGATGCCTATTTCGTGTCTCATGTCTAGCCTATTTCTTGTGAATCCAACTCTTACCCATAAGAGTTATCCTGAAGAGCCCCTGAAGTTTTATACGCAAATACTTGTTATCAATCACAAGGAAAACAATTACGTAGAGCAAAGAAATTAGAAAAGTGAGTTTGCCTTATTAAACATAACAAAAGAACCATTTGCCTCAGCCGGTTGGAAATGAAGTGTTTCTAAATAACTCATTTTGATACATACAGACACAAATTGGGAGAAACATGAAGTTGAAATAAGGGCTGTACCTCCTTTTAATTTAGATAGCATTAATGCATCATAAACTATTTCAGGTTATAACAAAAAAGCCAGAAACAACTTCTATTTCTTTAAAAAATCAAATCAAATCAACATCAAACAAATTACTAATTTACTCAATCAGGGAGCCTGCACATCAAACATATTTCCTGTGATGAACATGCAAAGCCGCATCAGATCCGAAATTCAATAATTAATAATATGAGTTCAAGTATTATGAATATGTAATCAACCAATCAATTGTAAAGAAAAGAACCCACAAAGAAAAAATGAGATAAGAAAAACCAAACTATCTCAAGGAAAAAGCAAACTATCATAAGCAGGACTCAATAGTAGACCCCATTCTTTTTTCCCTTACAATAATGTCAATCCCATTATCTATGTTATCATAAGAATGCCTATTCATGTTAGTTTTAGAAGAATTGTTACACTGCCATAGAATTTCGTATTTACTGTTTGTTTAAAGCTGTTGTGTCATGAGTTTTTCATTTTAAGAACCAAAACTTGTTGGGATTTGTGGTTTGACATCTTAATTTGGTTTAATGTAGGAAACTTGATTATGAGGAAAACTGGAACTCATACTTTCTATGTTTTCACCAAAAATAAATAACAAATAAATAAAGGGTGAGGTTAATGCCACGAATGGAAAGTTAGTTCCACGCAATTCCATGGTATTTGACAAAATTATCCTTAAACTAGGTAAACCCAAGTTGTGTCACTCACATGTCCCTCTCTCTGCAAATTTCTTTCGTAACCTTCTGTGACTCGTGTTTTTCTTATCTTTATTCTACACTTATTTCTCTCACTACACAACAAAGAGAGCAGACAGATAAGGGAAGGAGAAAAGCAGGAGGAAGACAACCAAGGGAGACAACCGCAACAGGGAGAGTGATGCTGCAGTGTGAAAAAATAGACTCTATAGTCGCTTCCTTACCAATGCCCGAATGAAGATGATGAGAGTGGGTGGTGGTGCTTCGGACAACCTCCAGCGACAGAGCCTCGCTCGCCTCTTTAATTCACTATCCCGCAGCAGGGTTCTCGCTTTCAGAACTTAGAGATAGGGAAAAATGAATAAAATATCCACCCCAAAAAAAAAAAAAATGAATAAAACTGATTGCTAGGGAAAATTAGGAAATGATGACATCGTTTAACAAATTAGACGGAGGGAATGACGAAGTTGTTCAACAAATTAGTTGGAAGGAACCCAAATTATTGGGAGAAGGAATTTCAAAACGCTGAATGTATTTGCAGAGGTTTTGAAAACCACCACTGTAAAAGAATGGCAGTTCAACACTACTGCCGATTAAGTTGGATTTTTGTTCAAATTAACTGCCGTTAATATTTATTTTTAATGGCAGTTTGTTTACCGACTATAATATATGTCTATAAAGGTTGTTCTCTTACCGTTTTTGAAACTGTCATTGTAGTGTACACATATGAATTGACATGCAACCAAACACTTTGTCTTACACACATCTGTTAGAGCAATCAAACAGTTAGTTTAACACTGAAAATTAAAAGCAATCAAAATAACAGTCTTACACACATACACAAAGATGCATGAAACAATCTAAAGCAATAAAACAATAAAACAATCAAGCAATCAGTTGAAAAGAGAAATACAAAAAAAGGGGCACACTGATTAACGGCTTGGGTTACTAGTGATATGGGCAACAATGAATTTTCAATCAAAAACATGAAAGAGGTGCAAAGCTTGATAAGCATTTGCCCTGATCTTGTTTTCTGATTAAACTCTCTCATTCTCTCCATTTCGTTTGCATTTTTTTTTTACAAAAAAATCAGCAACAACAATTATTTCGTTTGCTTATTTATCTCTTTTGACTTCAGCATTGAAATTTTGAAAACCGAATGCCCAACAAAAAACTGATTTTTCTTCTACAAGAAAATCGAACCAACCGTTACCTATAGAAAAACTGACCTAAATTGGTCGTTTCGGCAAATTTTACTTGATTCATGTAGGTTGGTTGGTTTTTCTTACTGATGCGCGCTCAAAGAAAAGCAATTCAAGGACTTATGGAATTTGGCCCATATTCAAGACATACCCACATGGGAACTTAATAGAAGCAAACCAACCAGAGAATATTATAGGATCATCTTTTCCTTCAAAATCCAAAACTTCTATCTCACGGTGTAGGGCACATTGTGGCACATAGGATCTCCCACTTTGTAAGAATATAGTGGCGAAACCAACTCTAAGATCAGACTAATGTAATGTAGGGAAACACCTTAAAAAGCTTTAAAGCTAATTTCTAGTGGGAAATTTAGGGGTTTTAAATATTACGAAAGGAAATAGTTTTTAAATATTACAGAAGGAAATAGGATTACTACTTAGATAATAAGGACTGTCCTGGGTGTTGTGAACAGTACCCACAAACTGTTTTGGGGCAGTTAAAGTGCAAAAAATACAAGAAAGAAAGGCATCACTCCTAAAGGCCTTAGGCATCACAACCTAGGGTTGATTGCGTCACACAATCTGTAAAAGGAAATTTCAAAACTCTAAAATTTTTCTAAAATGGCAGTTCTATTAAATTAAAAGCATTACATGTCCTTATCCCTTTATATAGACTTTAGATACATCCTTCACCAACCAGAATTAGGATTTCTAAAAAAGACAACTACTAATGTTGGACAATTGGAGAGTGAGGTTTGCCAAGATGAAATTTGTAGCAATGGCAGAAATTTGGTGGTTTGGTGTTGAAGATATTGAGAAGATCAGAATTACCGCCAATCAACACATGGGAAGAAATGAAGGCCAAGCTTGAAAAGAAGTATATGGTCTCAAATTATTATGGCAGGATATGCATGCAACTAGCTAATATAACAGGGCAGCATATCAGTAATGGAGTATATTGAAAGATTTGAAGAACTAATGTCTCAAGGTCAATTTATTGAAGATCCACATCAAACAATTGCTCAATTTAAAGCTGGTTTAAGTGCTGATATAAGGTTGGAGTTGTTTTGACAAACTCTATATACACACTGTGGACCAATCAATCCAAGTGCCATTTGATATGGAGTTGTTTGTACTTAAAATTCATCAATCGAGTTCCAGTGCAGCCAAAGCTTATAATTATTTGCAAGAAGAGAAGGTTCATCAAAAAACTAGCCAAAGCAACAAGTGCTCAAGTAACTCAAGATGACTTAGAGCAAGTTGATGAACCTACAATCTCAGGCCACCATGCCAATTACTTGTCCAGAGGCTAGAGTAAAAGGTCAACATCCAAATAAGTTTTCAACTATAGTGCCTAAAAAGGTGAAAAAATGACATTTAGTCATGGATCTAATTCGCCTTCCAAGATGTCCAAGTTACTATCTGAATGCTACGAAGTAGTGCCTAAAGAATCACTTGATGAATTTTTTAGCATTGATAGTGTTAAAACCTATCACCTACTTCACCCACTAAACCTAACCCACTACACCACTACCACCTCACCTACTCCACTAAACCTAACCCACTACACCACTACCACCTCCACTTCACCTACTCCACCTACCACCTCCACTTTACCTACTCCATCTACCACCTACTACCACCTACTCTTCTATATATAGGAATCATTGTAGCATTCAATAATTCAACAATTACAACAAATCAATATCAATCAATAATACATAAATTGTTACAGATAGTGTTCAACCTAAAATATATCATTCACTGGTGTCTCAAGTGCTTAATTTGCCTACATCCTCCGAGAATCTAATTGAGCATAAAAAGCCACACGTAACTTCCACACTTTGACAATGCTCAAGAAAAAACCAAGTTAAAGCAAACAAAGATACCAAAGAAAAAACGAAGATATCATTATGGGCAAAGAGATGGAATTAAAGACTCTTGTTACATATCTGAATGAGTGATAGGAATTGGCAAAATTTGGGAAGGAAGTGATAGAAAGGTAAACTACTGAGGTTATTGTACAACATCAATTCAAGTATACTTTCTTTTCACTTTGTTCCAACAATTGATTGTCATTTCAGTGAAATTTGATGACACTATTAAAAAGATTAATCTCCCTCGTTTGCTTCCTCAATGCAAGAAGAAAAGAATGTGTCACTTTAAGACTTCTCAAACAAAGAATTTGTCATATGTCATGTAATGCTTATAATTTAATAAAGTTGATGTTTTAGAGAATTTTCAAAGCTTTGAAGTTTTCTTTTATGGATTGTGCGATACAATCAACCCCAGGTGATATGCCTAAGGCTTGCAGGAGTGCCTCTTAAAACTATCTTCTTATTTTCCTTCTTTATTTTTATGTTTTTGCAACTTAACAGCCAAAACACCGTTCACAGAACCCAGACAAAACAGCCCCGAATTTCATTTCTTTTCCTTATTTAATTAAGCCGTAATCCTATTCCCTTCCATACATATTTAAAAATGTTAAATTTCCCAGAGGAAATCAACTCTAAACCACAAAATAACCCTACAAAACCCAGCTTTAAAGCCCTTTAAGGCACTGTACCACATGACATACACCCCTCCTACCAACACTGTCAATAAAGTACCTTTTACCCATATTTTGACCATCCCACTCAATTCTTTGTGGTTGTCTAATATAAACTAACAAAGCTGCCTCTTATCGATTCTACCGCCTTCTAAGCAAGCTTTTAGCAATTAAGCACTTTGATTTCAACAACATGAACAACGCAAATAATTTTGAATAGTTTAATCATCCTACAAGTTAAAGACAGATATATTATTTTTAGCTTGGCATCAATTTAGATGATAACGTTTAATTGGTAGGTTACACATGCTCCCAGTGGGATTGAACCCACTATTGTGGGAGGATAGTGCATCAACATGCCAAATTTTGGGTTTTTAAATAATGGCAGTTTTTTTATGGGAAAATTAACATGCCAAGTATCATATTTGTTGTTGGGACAATAGCAGAGCATGTGTAACTAAATTTATAACAGAGCATATGCAAACTAGATGGAGATACTCTGAATCACTCTAAACATTGAATTCAGGCATTGGCCAGCTACAAAAATTGAGGGGGAAAAAAGAAGAGAAAATGACAAGAAGGGCATAAAGGACATTATTACCTCTCTTGCAATCACTGTGATCCATGCCATAACCTGCAACACAATTAACTATTTGTTAGTAAAAAATGAAATAGGGCATGGTGTTACTTAGTCCTTTTTTGTTTTTTTTAATCAGTTCTAAAAATTATCAAGTCTAACCAAGTCAAAATTGTAAAATACCCCATGCAAATAACAAGTAAATCAAGTAAGTTCAAGCTTCAATAGTTACAACATATTATGCACAATCAACCAGCAGTTTCTTGAGTTTAAGGCCCCATCCCTTGCAGGTTCACCATGGAAAGACAGGACGTTCAATATGGAAGGCCACTTGAGAAACTGCAATTGTAACTATTGAAGGTCACTCCAGAATCCCCTGTCTTTTTATTTTTTTCGGGTTAAGGAAGACACCCATGAAAATTTATTATAACTATTAGAAAACATCCGTCTCCCTTTAAGAAGTATCCGTGCTTCATAGGATCTAAATCTCCTAAAAACATCTTAGTTAATTGTAACTATTGAAGGTCACTAGAGAATCTCCGGTCTTTTTAATTTTGGGGGGGTTAAGGAAGACACACATGAGAATTTATTACCAAAAGATATTGCTTTGTAACAAGGTGCGAGTTTGGGGGGACCCATGGCTGCCATCACCCACTTCTTTTAAAGTCATTTGTCTGAAAATTATTCCTTGACAATGATTAATGCTGTCAGAAATAATTTTCTGTAATTGGAAACAGTAGTGAGATTATTCAAAACCTACTAAGACGTTTTCAGGAGATTCAGATACTATGAAGATACTTCCAAAAAGGAGATGTATTTGTATCGGATACCGATACTCCTTGATACTCGCGGATATGTATCACATACTTCTTAATTAATTTTTCATTACTTTTGAAGTATCAGATACTTAATTTTGAAATATTAGATACTTAAGAAGAACACAGGGAGTTAAAGTAATATAATTTGTCAAATTGACGTATTCTTATTGCATCATGCATGTCCTTTATAACTACATAAAAAGTAAGGATTAACAAGAGAATATAACAATTGTAAAATTAAATATTGTTGTTCTATTCTATTATTGTAATATAAACATACTAGATTTGATATTGAAATGAAATATTTGTAAGACCTATTAAAAATTTTAAAAAGTAAACTTCCTTGTTTAGGGACAAAATATTTTGGACAAAATATTTTAGCCAAAAAGTCAAAAATTCACCATAAGTTGTCACATCACTCACTACTTTTCTACACATCTTTCCGTTAAAAGCCAAAAAGTTACTAAAATAGCTTATTCTCAAACGAGATAACTTAAGTCAATACTTAATTCTTAAAGATAAGTATTTTGCATTATAAGCTTATGTAACTCACTAATAATTTTTTTTTTTTTACAAATGTATCCTAGTCGTACCCATATCCTATTTTTTAAGTTTTATCGTATCACCATATCCGTAATCATATCTGTATCTTGTATCCGTATCCATGCTTCCTAGTTTAGATATCTCACGTCAATTGACAAGGTAATAAAGTTGCTCACCTACTTGCTCGATTGGCACAGCGTGAAGAAGAGACGAGAGGTTGGATTGAAGAAATTGCTATGGAAGTCAATGCTTGTGTTCTTTCTGAATCTATTCATTCGATGCAATTCTCTTTCTCCTAATAAAAAAAAAATAAATAAAAAGATCTTTTTTTGGCAAGTGAGATTTTATTACCAAAAAGAAAATAGATACAAGGCTCAATACAAACACACTTCTAAAAGGCACAGTCATGTTACAAGGAGAGACCCAAAAAACCTAGACCACTAAAAGATAAATTTAATAAGATAGTATATTATATTATATTAAATATTTATATGAAGAAAATAACTTTTAAGATGATTGATGTTGAAAACCACAATGCCATATAGTGTCAATAATAATTCAATAAGCACAATAATGAATTAAAAAAAAATGTCATCGTCCATTAATGGAACTTGGAATGTTTTGTCTCATTGGAAAATCCAAAACAGGCCTTTTAAGCATAATATGAATGGTCCAAAATGAGTAAAGAGACCATCCAACAAAAACAAAATATCAAAAAGCCCCAAGTCTATTACATAAAAAGGCAAACCAAATAAAATCATAATAGATTCACACAAACTACACTACTTATCAAAACTCACAAAATGTAAATTATGTTTTATCAATATTGAGAGTTTGAGTTTTTGGGCCACATTAAGTTGTTTATCTATTCTATTTGGACTTGTCCACGACTCTTATGATAAGAGTAAAAATTATTTACATTGCAATATCTTCAAAAAAATAATCACAAAATGAAATAAGCTTACCAATTCAAAGCTTGAGTCCCTTGTAGCCAAAAGGACCGTGCCTCATCAATTTCACCATATGGTTAGCACTAAAATGAGTTAAGCAAATCTGATCGTCGAATTTAGAACACAGTAGAAAATGTATCTTGGGCAAGGCGTCAGGCAGAACTTGGTGAAGCTCCTTGAGAATTTTTCCAGACCAAACATCACGATTGATATCCCTTGCATGCTCGCAGACGGTCCTCAAATACGTTACAACGTCATTGGGAAATTGATAATTATCCCGAAAAAGTGGTTGTCCTTGGCTGTCATACAGTGCTCGGTCATACAGAACTTGTCGCAGGGGCGGCTGATTGATATCCCCATCTGGTAAAAAAGGATTAATTGGAATTGCAGCCAGCCAATCAGTCATGTTAGTGAGAGGGGTGGTTTGATCTAAACGAACCAGACGGTTGAACATTTGTGGATTCCTCTTTCGTATTTCATAAACCTTATAAATGAAGTGCGCCATTTTCACTTTGTCGAAAAAAAGCGGATGAGAATAATTGTAAAATGCAACTTTCTTGACATACCGAAGACAAGAGTCGTACTCATGGCGTTGGTCAAAACCATTAACAGCATAGGGTTGGTCAAACCCATATAATGGTTTAAGATAGAGAAGCCAGGCATCAGGATAGAGATAGGGAACATTTAAAGGAAACCGAAACTTAACTGAATAAACCATGTATCTCAAGTGTTGAACATCAGCTATAATCCCTTTGATCGGGTCAATAAGATTTGGGGGAGGGTTGTTAACGAACTCTACTTTCCAAGTTAACCTTAACCCAACTGTTATACTACTAATCCTTAAATTTTCCAACAGATTACCATTAAAAACACTCCTTTCGTGAATATCATTCAACATTTCAATAACTCCATTGAATAGTTCAATCAATGATTCACTGAGTCCGATAACTCTGTTACCATAAACATCCCAAATATCAGCAAAAGTTCGACTGGGATGATGGAGCCACTCCCTAAATCTCTGTACAAAATAAATAAATAAATAATGGAAAGATGAGAAAATCTATTCTCAACGACTTTAGATGGATGCGATTTAAACACAAAATTAAATATTAAAAAAAAAATTGAAATAAAAAAAATTTCTTACCATAACATTATTATGATGTCCATTTTCCATAATCAAGATTTGAATCTGGGATTGTAGAGCATGTATTGACGACGATGCCTTTTGTTTGCAGAGGTCCTTTGCTGGAAGCTTTCACACTCGAGAAGAGACTTGGGTTAGAGAGATGACTCCAAAACGACATCGATTTTGGATTAAACATATTCAATAATAAAACAAAAATTAACTGGAAGATAAAAGTGTGCGTTTGGTTAATCTTGTTGAGATAAATTTTCAAAAAAAAAAGTTTGAGAAGAAAGTTTAAATTTTTTTTTAATTTGTTTGGTTTTATATTTTGAAAATAATTTTGAAATTTGAAAGTTTAGAACGACGAGATATTTTATTATAATTGAGTCGATACATGAAAAAAAAATAATTAAGAAGAAGAGATGAGAGAAAAAAATGATTGAATAATTAAGAAAGAAAGAGGAGATAAAAAAAATGATTGATCGATATGTAATATAGAGAATTAATTTTAAAAAAATTTTGAGAAAATTTGTAAAACACAAACTAAACACACCAAAGTATCTCCAATCCTTGATCGTTAGATATTTCATCAAATTTTTATCAAATCAAATTTGAATAAAAATTAAGAAAAAATTTAATCGGATGGAACGTATATTTAAAATAAATTTTTATCAAATTCATCAAAAAAAAACGATTATCCACGTCACTAACAAATTTAATGAAAGGATCGTTTTCATTAATTTTTAATCAAACTTAAATTTAAATTTAATAAAATATCTGGATTGGAGATGGTGTAATAACCATCCCCAGAGGATCCAGATCCGCCGCTTTGGACGGTGCCATTCAATCGCTCTGATTAACTGGAACATAGATCAATACCTTTTGCTTTTACACTTGGGAGTTCATTATTCAAAAAACTCAAAACCCTAGCCCCTAACAGGCTACTCCAAAGCTTACCTTACATTATTGTCTCTCCGAACTCCATTCTTGATGCAGCATTTTCCCTTCTTCAGGTTTTTCTCGATGGTTATGGCGAAGGGAGATAGTAGCGGAGGAGGGCTGCCATTTAGCGTCACTGACGAAGGGTGTTGAATGCGGCAGAGCTTCCATGGTGTGGTGGGCAGCGATTTTGCTTTGGAGCAGTGATCTAGACCCCCAGCAACCCCATACACGTGGGGGGCAACCATAGGAGGATTAAAAAAAAATAAAATAAAATAAAATATGGGCCAATCACATTTCACTGGGTGGTGGGGTCTGAGTCTTTGACCTTTTGCTCTGTGGCTATTAAAGGATCGATGTCCATGCGCTGGCTTCTTCATAGATGACCACGTGTAGTCTATGCCACACAGATAACAATTCTGTCTGTCTTTGGAAAATTTGGAAAATTTGTCCTCCTATTAGTAAGGCTCTCAAATTATAATTTTATTTATTGATTTAAGTATGTTGTTTATTTTTAACTTTCAAATCATAATTTTATATTTATTTTTTAAAATTTAATTTAAAATATAATCACTATATTTTAAAATTTATAATTAAATATATAATTTAAAATTCTTTTCAAAATTCAATTCAAATTAATATTTTAATTTTGTTAAGATTTTAAATATTTTAATATTTATATATGTTACGATTTTTTTAATTTTTTGAATATTTTTAAATATTTTAATTTCAAAATATTATGATTTTAATTTTTTAAATTTAAAAATATTTTATAAAAAATTTTAAAATATTTTATAAAAATAAATTCAAACTCTATTTTATAAAAATATTTTTAAATATTTTAATTTTTTTGTTATGTATTTGGTTACGATTTAAGTGTAGAGTTGTGAAAGTAGTATGAAGTTTCGAATTATGTATTTAGTTATGAGTTTTAAAAATAATTTCTTAATTGAGTTTTGTTTTATGTGTTTGGTTACGATTTGAGTGTAGAGTAGTTTTTAAATTTAAAATATTAACATTTTAAATTATTTAAATTTTTACGATTTAAATTTTTTGAATATTTATTTTAATTTTTTACTTATTAAATTTTTTAGATTATTTAAATATTTATGATTTAGATTTTTTAAATATTTATTTTGAAAAAAAATTATTTTCTCTGTAGTATTTTCAATTAAAAAATTGATTAATGTTATTTTTTGTTAATAATAATTTTTTTAATTGAATTTTAAAAAGAGTTTGGTTATGAGTGTTAATCAAAATTTTCAATAGTGTGAAAGTAGTGTGTTTTGTTATGAGTTATAACAATTTGAATTAAGTTTTGAAAACTCTTTTCAAAATTCATAACCAAACAAATTTTCTTACTTCACATGTCAAATCAAACTTTCAAAACATAATTCACACTCAATTCAAAACTCAATTCAACACTCTATTCAAAAATCATAACCAAACAAATTTTCTATACTCAAATCATAATTCCACAACTCACAAACTCAAAATACAACTCATACTCTTAAATCATATTTACAAAACTCTACCAAACGCAACATTGGTTTTTGTGCTAGATTGATTTGATAATTATGAAAAATAAAATAAAAAAATTATAAATTAGATGTGATATTTTATCTTATTAATTATTTTAATTAATTTTATCTTTTAGTCAGTTATTTTAATTCAATCCTCTTCTTAAACGACGCCTTAGACAAGTAGATTGAGATAAATTTAGGCTAAGTTTGGCATCCTTTGAAAAAGTCAAAAAATCACTATCCTATTTAAGTCACATCATCTTATTTAAGTCACATCATCTTTTTACTACATCACTTCAAACCCAATGCATATTTCATAAAAAGTCAAAAAGTACACTTATTTAGAACATCTCAAACAACCCCTTAGTCTACTAAAAAATAAATTAAATTAAAAAATTAATATAATAAAATAAAATATCTCATTTAAATTATAATTATTTCACTTTTTATCTCAAAAAATTAATTTTTTTTCCAAATGAAACTTTTTAATCAACTTGAAATAACTAAAAAATCAAAAAGTTATATTAAAAAAGTTATTCTCAAATGAATACTTAATGTAATTCATGTAAATACCTAAAAATAAATGATAAAAAAAATCAATATTATATATGTGTTATTCAAGTGATAAGTGCTCAATATATCAAAAGGCTCTGTGGCAGAATTGATCACAGTAAAGAAGCTTGCAGGTTCAATAGGCCTACCGTCCCACCGGCGGCGAAGATTATAGCCGTTACTGATACTATAATGCCTGACAATCAAATGACGGAGGCTAACGGAAACCTGCAACCCGAGCAAAGGGAGGAAGATTCATTCGGCCCATGGATGTTAGCTACCAAAAGAGGTAGACACCCAACCCAACCCAGACGGGCCCAACCAATTCTTGGCCCAATTCCAAATACTAACAAATTCAAATATTTGGAGGAGAGCCCAGATGGCCAAGACAAAGTTGCCAGGGGCAGGAAGACCTATAGGTCAGGATTTGAAAAAGGTCTCAGTGAGCCCAGTATTGTAGTCAACGCCAACCCAACGAAAGACCCTAAGGGTAAAGGTAAAATTGGGTCCCCCCTTTCCAAACCTAAAGAACCAGAGCCCCAATCTCTGCAACTACCGAATACGAAGTTAATGGAGGTGAGCACATCGTATCTACCCACCGATCCTAGGGCAGAGTCACCAATCTGTGACCAAGCAATGGTCCCGTCCAAACTTGATGGCACGCAACCAATCCTGTTGTCCCCTGACACGATTCCTACTTTGGAAACTCCACCTAGAGCTGTTGACTTGACCATGGCAGAAGCTATTTCAACCTCTTCTACTTATGCCAGCCCAACACCAGCCATCAACCCTGCCCATAAACATATAGACACATAGAACCACCGGATCCAGGAGAAGACAGCAATGGAGCCGAAAGACACATAGAACTCAGGAGAGCAGATAATCGACGTGGAGGAACACCAGAATCAGACCATCATGGTGGCGTTGTTGTTAAAACCAGAGAGAGAAGCTGCTCACCTAGTCGCTTTCGTTTGGTGGATATAACAAATACGCATGACACTCGAGCTAAATTGGGAGGGCACCAGTCTCAAGCCATTTCACTCGATTCAAATGGCCTCCATGAGATCGGAGGAGGCCGATCGCCGGAGGATCCGCAACATTGTTAAGGATATGGTAACTGACTCACCCCTTATTTACCCATCCATGGATTTATTACGAACATTATTCTGGAATTGCCGTGGAGCCGGCAATAAAAACTTCAAACGTAACCTAACAGAAATAGTTCGTGCCCACAAACCTGAAATTCTAATTCTTATGGAAACAAAGGTGCCTTTTAGCAAAATGGGAAATTTCTTTAATAGATTGGGCTTCACAGCTTCGACTATTGTAGACCCAATTGGCCGTGTTGGAGGGATATGGATTGTTTGGGACACAAGCCAGGTTAACGTGCGAGCTTCTTCAGTCAATTCCCAGGCTATTCATGCCACCATCCACAAAGAAGATTATGATGAATGGGTCTTAGCAGCTGTTTATGCCAGCCCAAATCCTGTTGTGAGAGAGCAGCTATGGGATGATCTAGAGGCAGTGGCTATCAACATGTCTAAACCTTGGTTGGTTGCCGGCGATTTCAATGATTATGCTAACCAAGGGGAGAGAAGAAGCTTCAACCCAAGGCACAATGCTGTAAGAAATCAGAAGTTCTTGGATAGGGTCAACAATTGTAAACTGATTGATTTAGGGAGCTCTGGCCCAAAAATGACATGGACCAATAACAGACAGGGTCTTGCCAACACAAAGGAAAGATTGGATAGGGCTATGAGCAACTCAGAATGGCGAACCATGTTCCCGGAGGCCACTGTGAGAGTACTCCCTAGGACTTATTCAGACCATTCACCTCTTTTGGTCTACACCCAAGGTATGCATACCCTCAATCCTCTCATTCGGCCTTTTAGATTTGAAGCTGCTTGGATCACACACCCTGGTCTCCTTGATGTTATTAAATCCTCCTGGTCTGATATAAACTAGAATCTCATTGATTCCACTGCTGAATTCACCTGCCGAGTTAAGGAGTGGAACAAAGAGGTTTTTGGTAATATCTTTCAAAGAAAAAGGCACCTCCTTGCTAGGATAGAAGGCATACAAAGATCCTTAGCTAAGTACTTCTCTCATAACCTTCAGTCTCTTGAAAAGGACCTTATTTTTCAATAAGAAATTTTATGGTTCCAAAAATCTAGATCTAAAGATATCACTTTAGGTGATAGAAATTCTAAATATTTCCATGTTTCCACTATTACCAAGAGAAGAAAGAATAAAATCAATGCTCTTAAAGATACTTATGGTAATTGGATCACTGATTCTGTTAATATCAAGGCAAGTATTCTTGAGTATTTTCAACACCTCTTCAGAGATGAAGTTATTACCAAGCTGGATCACTGGAACAACTTAACCCCTACCTACTTCACTCAAGAGGACAATGCTGGTTTATCTAAACCCCTCACTAATTCAGAGATTTTAAAAGCTGTGAAAGATATTGGTGCTTTCAAAGCACCAGGCAGAGATGGCATTCAAGCCATTTTTTACCAAAAATACTGGAATATTGTTCAACATTCCGTGTGTGACTTTGTGAAAAATTGTTTTCATAATAAAATGATCCCTTAGGTCATTAATGAAACTCTTATTGTGCTTATACCTAAGATTGATAATCCTGAAAACATTAGGCAATTTAGACCCATTAGCCTATGCAATGTTTCTTATAAAATCATTACTAAGCGTATAGTTGGTCGTATTAGACCCCTTCTTGACAATTTGATAAGCCCTAATCAAAGCAGTTTTATACCTGGAAGGAACACCACTGATAACATTATCATCACACAAGAAATTCTGCATTCTTTGAGAAATAAGAAAGGAACTCAAGGTGGCATGATATTTAAGATTGACTTGGAAAAAGCTTATGATCGGTTGTCCTGGGTTTTCATCAAAGATACTCTTCTTGAACTAAAACTTAATGATAATTGGATTGAGTTAATTATGAGTTGTGCTTCTAACCAACACTCTTCTATCTTGTGGAATGGTGAAATTATTGAGGGTATCCAAAATGGGAGAGGGCTCAGGCAAGGTGATCCCCTTTCCCCCTACCTATTTGTGCTTTGTATGGAAAGGTTATCCAATATGATCAACTTTAAAGTTCAACAGGGTTCTTGGAAAGGCATCAAGGCATCTCGAAATAGCCTTTCTGTTTCCCATTTGTTTTTCGCTGATGACCTCATCCTTTTTGCTCAAGCTAACCAAATGAATTGTGAAACTATAATAGATGTTCTTTGTGAATTTTGTGAGGTGTCTGGTCAGAAAATCAATTATGCTAAGTCTAAACTCTTTATTTCCCTTAATATCCCTAAACTTTTAGCCAAATCCATCAGCTCCTCTAGTGGCATTCCCCTAACTCAGGATCTTGGTAAATATCTAGGCTCACCATTACTTCATAAGAGAGTTACTAAGAGCACTTTCAATGACATTCTTGAGAAGATGAAAACTAAACTATCAGGTTGGAAAGCCAAAAACCTTACCATGGCCGGGAGAGCAACTCTTATCCAATCTGTTACCTCTGTTATTCCCTCATATAGCATGCAAACTATGGAGCTTCCTAGAAAACTCTGTGATGAGATAGATAAACTCAATAGAAATTTCCTTTGGGCTGACTCTGAGAATCACAAGAAAGTCCACCTCGTAAACTGGGATAGTGTGTGCAAAAGAAAAATTGAGGGAGGCCTAGGCATTCGCAAGGCTAGAGATCATAACGCTGCTCTTCATACCAAACTTGGGTGGAAAATCCTGTGTGATAAGAATAAGCTTTGGTGCAAAATTCTTCATTCCAAATATTTGAAACATCATAGCCTTTATACTTGGCCTCAGAGCAAGCAAGCTTCTCACATTTGGCGAAGCATTTGCAAAAATAGGGATACCCTCCGTAAGGGTGTTAAATGGGTTGTTGGCAATGGGGAACACATTTCCCTTTGGAATGATTGGTGGTGTGGTACTCAACCTTTAGCTCAACTTAATAACACCTACCAATCCAATGATCTTGATAAAGTTAGCTCTATCTTAGACGATGAGGGAAATTGGGATACGGAGAAACTTAAAACCCTTGTCACTAAACAGGACTTGGATGAAATTCTCAAAATATACAGACCTAGGTTTGTTACCTTTACTGATGCTCCTGCCTGGATTGGATCTACCTGTGGTAATTTTAACACTGGCTCTGCTTTTAACATTATTACTAATTCTGTTGTGGATGGCAGGGATTGGAAATGGGTTTGGAAAATCAAAACTCCTCAAAAATTGAAATACTTTCTCTGGCTTATCCTAAAAGGCAGGTTATTGACTAACCATTTGCGCCTTGAAAGAAATATGGCTTCTTCTGACCTTTGTCCTAGATGTGGGCAGACTAGTGAAACTTTGCAACATCTCCTTAGAGACTGTGTCTGCTCCAGGAATATTTGGATCCACATCCAAAACAACTCTTGGTGAGAGGAAGAGACTGATCTGCCCCTATTTGATTGGGTGACCTGCAATATGAACAGTAAAACAATTCTTTATGGGTCTAAATGGTCTCTTATTTTTATTGTTACCCTTTGGCAGATCTGGAAGATTGCTCTATTTCTCATACAATTAGTCGATTAACTCGGCATTTAAATTTTCTCAAAGAAGAAATTAATTATAAACGCATTGACCAACAATTAACTGATCCAATTCTTATTTCTCAAATCAATGATTTCAAATTAAAACTTGAATCAACAGTTTGTTCCACCCTACCCACTGCATTTTGGCATAGGAAAAAACATGTAGTTACCTTACCTTATATTCAGAATTTTGATGAACGACAAATTCCTACTAAATCTCGACCAATTCAAATGAATCATGACTTACTTGAAATGTGTAAAAAAGAAATTAACGAATTATTAAAAAATCGAATAATTAGTCCAAGTAAATCACCATGGTCTTGCCCTGCTTTTTATGTTAATAAAAATGCTGAATTAGAACGAGGTGTCCCTCGCTTGGTCATCAATTACAAACCTTTAAATACTGTTTTAGAATGGATTAGGTATCCTATTCCTAATAAAAAAGATTTAATTAAACGACTGAGTCAAGCTGTTATTTTCAGTAAATTCGATCTAAAAAGTGGTTTTTGGCAAATACAAATTCATCCCCGCGATAGATATAAAACTGCATTTAACACACCCTTTGGCCAATATGAATGGAATGTCATGCCATTTGGTTTAAAAAATGCTCCTAGTGAATTTCAACATATCATGAATGACATATTCAACACATTTAGTCATTTTTCCATTGTTTATATTGATGACATATTGATTTTTTCCAAATCAATAAGTGAACATTGGAAACATTTAACTGCATTCTTTTACACAATTAAAAGTCATGGTCTTGTCATCCCTGCTCCTAAAATTAAATTATTTCAAACTAAAGTTAGATTCTTAGGATATGATATTCATCACAATACTATTTTACCCATTAGTAGATCCATTGAATTTGCGTCCAAATTCCCTGATGAAATTCTGGATAAAACCCAATTACAAAGGTTTTTAAGATCCCTCAATTATATTGCTGAATTTTACAAAGACCTTAGAAAAACTTGTCAACCCCTGTTTGATAGGTTAAAGGATAATCCTTCTCCTTGGTCTTCTGTTCATACTTCTATTGTTCAACAAGTCAAAGAATATGTTAAATCTCTTCCTTGTCTTGGTATCCCCACTGAGAATTCATTCAAAATTATTCAAATTGATGCCTCCGATATTGGTTATGGTGGCATTCTTCTCCAGAAGGTCACTCCTCAATCCTCTGAACAAATTGTTCGTTATCATTCTGGTGTCTGGAATAAAGCACAATTAAATTATAGTACTATTAAAAAAGAAATTTTATCTACTGTCTTATGTATTCAAAAATTTCAAGATGATATTTTAAATCAAAAATTTTTACTTCGTGTTGATTGCAAATCTGCTAAATTTATTTTGGAAAAGGATGTTCAAAATCTTGCTCATAAACAAATTTTTGCCCGTTGGCAATCCATTTTAAGCATTTTTTATTTTGATATTACTTATATACCTGGTTGTCAAAATTCCCAACCTGATTTTCTCACCCGGGAATTTTTACAGTGGGATAAGGGATGACTGTACCATTTACTTCTTTCCATAAATCCCGAATTACCTATTTCAAAACCCAAATTAAACAACTTACCTACCGTATTCACCGCCTTAAATTATCCAGACCCACTACTAAAAGAGCCCAATATATCATTTACCATCAGATTCAAGCCCGTCGCAATTTACTTGCTCACAACTATAACTGTTTACATCGCCATCAAGATTATTTAGATCTTCTTTCTGGCTGCTAACCATTGTTTCTTTCTCAACAGATGTCTCGCCCTCCAAGGCTTTGGTCCCATCCTCCAGTAAACCTAATCAACTTATTGTCCCTCCTCCTTTGGAGTCAGTCACCCAATCTCATTCACTTAAAACGGTTAACCGTTACCAAACTCTTGGTACCATTTATCGTCCTGATTACTCATCCGCATTGGCTGCCGATCCCTTTGCATCCAGCCATTCAGTTTCAGTTACTCCATTCCCAGTTAACCCCATTAAACCATCCCGATCTGAGTACACCAATTCACATGTTACTAATTTGTTTTACAAAGAACCCAGTCACCCAAAAAACCAAACCATTAATGAAATTGCTAAATTCCATTTTGGCTCTAGATGCCATTTCACCCTTTCACATCCAGAAAAAACCCTCTCCTATTACAAAGACATTCTACTCCATCACCATTCAATTTTGATCAAACCAATCCAGGATTGAACCTACGCATACAAAATCCTATATCATTCAATTTATATTCACAACATTGTTTCCATGGCTGAATGGGGAAACCCTAACCAGCTTCGTGATTTACCTAGCCACACCATTCAATATAATTACCATGATTACGTTGATGCTTGGTTCAAGATTTTCTTGTAACAAAATGAAACGTTCAGTCATTCTTGGTTCATCTCCTTTGATCAAAAATTCAAATCTGAAATACCTACCTGGTTTCTGAGATGGTGGACTCACTATGGCGCCATTTCCGATATCCTCCCTGATGATCTCCGAGAAATAATTAATTATTTTTCCACTGTTTACCCATTTACTGCTCATCAACGACAATTTCCCTTATTACTAATTTTCATATCCAAATACAAAATTCCATGGATATTTAAATGGCAATATGGGATTGATGATAACATTATCATTCGCCAACACACAGTCAAATGGTGGATAAAGTTCAATGTGCCCAGAATTCTTGAAATTGTTCAAGAGGAATTCCCACCTGATCAGTGTGCTCCAACTCCTGCTCTTGCTAAAGCCCAGCAGAACCCAACTGCTGCAATTACTCAAGGAAGTCAACCCAGTCTTCCTCCAGTCAACCTTGGAAGCCCCTCATCCAGTGGTCCCAAGCCCAAATCATTCAAATCAAAGTCTAAAGCTGTTGCTGCCCAGCCAGTCCAATCAAAGCCCAAATCAAAGTCCAAAGCAAAGGCAAAGCCCATTTCACCTTCTGCTCAGCCCAACGTCAAGTCCAAGAATAAATCCAAGTCATCCAAAGAAGATATGATCCAGTTAGCCCATCAACTCTTGAATCAAGCTAAAACCCAATCCACTGATTCAGACAATTCAGAAGAAGCATCAGAACATGCCCACTCCTCTGAAGAATCAACTAGTCAATGTTCAGGACCCGAGTTTCAAGATGCTCAGGATCCATTTGCATGATCAACATTGGATTCTATATAGATATAAATTAGCTTCAGTCAATACTCTTTTGAGAAAAGCTGCCAATTTGTATTTATATTGATTCCATTATTCACATGTTCCACCGAAAGTAATGAATAGTAAAAGTTACTGTTCACTTTTACTGTTCATCGTCATTATTCACCCAGTCAACTTTTGTTTAAAGCTGCTCAACTATTCAATCAATCAACCGAAAGCAACCGACAGCATCTGCTTTGCCCCATGCGTTGCCAGCTGCTTTCATCAATCCATTACTGCTTTTCTTTTCTTTATTTTTGTATATATTCACATGTTCCACCGAAATTAATGAATAGTAAAAGTTACTGTTCACTTTTACTGTTCACCCAGTCAACTTTTGTTTAAAGCTGCTCAACTATTCAATCAATCAACTGAAAGCAACCGACAGCATCTGCTTTACCCCATGCGCTGCCAGCTGCGTTCATCAGTCCATTGCTGCTTTTCTTTTCTTTATTTTGTATATAATGTAATGAAGTTGAACTCATTCGGTAGACTTGGAAAATTCTTAGAAACCAATATTCTGAAAATCCAAGAGCTCTGAGTGAAAAACCAACACCGTGTGCTACTACTGTAATTGCTACTGTAATTGTAAGTTTGTTAAGTTTTTAATTAAATGTTTTGTGTGTAATTTAATGTGCATTCCTGTTTTGTTCAAATTTATATCCTTTTGATTTCGTAATCCATCTCCTTCATTCTCTATGTGCTGCTTGCAATTTTAAATTTAATGAAAATTGTTCAATTCATAAAATTAGAATTTGATAAAAATAAAAATAAATTAAGACAATGAAATATTAAAGATAATTTTTTTTCATTAAATTTGATAAAAAGATAAATTTAAGATGAGAGAAAAAAATTAAAAGATTTTGGTGAAAGGGTTTAAATAATTCATATCATATCAAATTTTTTTATACAAATTAAATGAAAAATTGAAGTAAAAAGTTTTATAATAAAAAATAGTGTTTATTATAGTTCCAATCTTAAACTATCACCAACTTATCTATTTAGTTATTGAACTATTGATTGAGTCCATTTAGTCCATAAAATATATAAATCAAAGTCTATATAGTTCCTAAACTATTGATTGAATTTATTAAGTCCCTAAAGTATTTAATTAAAACATATTTAGTACCTGAAAATATTACAAAAATAAAATGTAAATATTATAAATTAGTAAAAGACTCAACCTAATTAAGATTTTAATCTTAAAATTTTATTTTGATTTTAAAACGTGTTTTATTTCATTGTGCGTTTAAATTAGTATTAGAGTATGGTTTATCAATTTTGTTAATAAAATTATATGAGTATTAAATATACAAAAGAAGTATAATTGTATAATTTAAATAATAACACTTCACTACAAAATAATAATAAAAGAACAAAATAATAGATTAATTAAGTTATAAAAAGAATTTAGTAAAATACTTTAAAATAATCAATTAAAAATTATAAACGAACTTTGACATATATAATACTAGATAAAGGCAAACACGTAATCATTGTAGAAGATACAAGTAAGAAAATACTATATATAATTATCTTTAGCCGCATAAAAGAAATTCACCATAAGAACTGATGTCCACTTTTTAAAGACATAATAAAAATATAAGTTTTTTTTTTAAAATAAAATTTTAATTAAATAGGATCTTTTACTAATTTATAATATTTATAAGTTTATATTTTATTTTTGTAAAACTTTTGTGGATTAAATATATTTGAATTAAATATTTTAAATATTTAAAGCCTTGTTTGACATAACCTATTTTAGTCTATCTTTTTATCTTTTTTAAGTCACATCAATTAATATCTCTTCTCTACTTTTCTATACATTTTTTTTATAAAAAATTAAAAAGTACACTTATTTAGAACATTCCAAATCACCTCTTAGTAGATTCAATGTTTAAAGGTTAAATAAATTTTAATTTATATACTTTAAAAACTTAGTAATCCTTGATTAATAATTCAAAGATTGAATACACAATTTAACTATAGTTAAAAATATAAAATATAATAAATTCAAAAAAATAAATAAACAAAACAACAAAGTCTCCTAAAAAAGTACGCACTTATTGCGTTTTCATAGCATGTCACATTCGCACCTAATCCTAACAGGATTGCTAATGTGCCTCGAGGCGATGTTTGATTGGAAGTTTAGGAGGGTGGATTGGATTAGTTATTTGTGAAATTTATCAAATTTTTATTTGGATGTAATGAAATGTTATAAGATTAGTAGTGAAGGGGGCTTAGTAATCCCTTATGTAAGGGGATTAGTTTATGTGGAGATATATTTTCTGAGTATCAACACGTGGCATGGTGACGCCGACGTGTCAGCCGAGGTGCCACGTGTCGAGGAAGTTATGCCGAGGTTATCTTGGCGAGGCCGATGTTATCTCCGAAGATATCGGAATCCGAGATAAGCGGATAAGGGACAAGAGTCCTAGAGTAAAGAGAAAACTTAGCCAAGATAAGGATAAAACTCTTAGGGAGATATACTGACGGTCAAGTCAGTATATCTCTCAAAGATACGCAGTTTTATACTCAAGCTTGTGAGTTTAGCACTTGATTATCTTTGAGAGATATACTGACTTGATCGTCGGAGTGTCCCCGGGTGGAAGAGCCACCGCCGGAGCCTTTTCTTTCTGTTACAGGTTTGTTGAAGCCATCTATTCTGCCGGTGCTCTCCAGCTGATTACTAGGCGGGCAGTGTGGTCAGAAAATTACCCATACAATTTGGCGCCGTCTGTGGGAAACTTAGAAGAATAGATGGTCAGTGACGGACAGAGGGAAAACATTGGGGGCGACACTCCTGCTGGGAGTGGCAGACTATTTGATCTTGACGTTGAAGGAGACAACCACAATACAGAAACTCGTGGCCAGGGCCACGGAGAGAAAGACATCGGCCAGGAAAATGACGCTTCGAAGAGGACAGACCAAAGCAAGTATTATAACGAAGATAACCTTCAGGTATGGAGGGGTAGGTGCCTATGAAGGGATGAGGAAGTAAAAGACTTGGCAAACAAGCTGGCAGACCTTCAGTCGGTCGTCAACTTCATGATGCAGAACAATGTTATGCAGCCACCATACCTGCTGCAAGATACGCCGATGCCAACAATTAATACCCAGAAGGGAGGAAAGAAAGTAATCCCCGAAGCCCCTCAGCACACCAGGAGTGGAAGGCACTCTCACCAACCTTCCAGGGAAGTCGGACGAGAGGAGCCGAGGCAAGAAGAGTCCCGAAGGACACATCACATGAAGGATCCAAGGCCCAAAGAACATTGGCATATTCAAGGGCAAGCACTCTACTTTGACACAACCCATGGAGAAAGATCGAAACGGGCTCACCACGAGGCCGAAAGTAGTGTCCCAAAAAGATTAAAGTCCAGAGATAGCCGAGCTCCAGGTAGGAGTAAAGAAGACTTGAGGAATTACCTCAAAAGGAGGCAGCAGAATGTTGAAACCGAGGTTACTTCCCCAGTTAAGCCGAGAACACCATTCTCGGTGGAACTGGACAAATTTGAAGCACCAAAGAGATTCAGTATGCCGAGGTTCCAAATTTATGATGGTAAGTCAGATCTCAACTTTCATGTCGGACTATACCTGAATTCAATGGCATTATATAGTGAGAACGAGGCGTTGCTCTGCAAAGTATTCCTCTCATCCTTCGGGGAGATCGCATCCGATTGGTTCCATAAACTACCAAAGGGAAGCGCGAAGAACTGGGAAGGCCTGGCCGAGATGTTTGTGGCCAGGTTTGTAACAAATAAACTACAACCCTTGAGGGTCGACGCACTGATGGCTTTAAAGATTGCCAAGGACAAAGGCCTTAGGGCCTATGCAAAAAGGTACTACGAGGTGTTCAATCGAATACCTGATTGCAACCAAGAGGTGACGGTCGTGTCCTTCAAGAACGGCCTGAAAGATGACTGCCCACTACGGAAATCTTTGGCAAAAACATTGCCAAAAAGCATGGAAGAACTCATGGTGAGAATAGAGAAGTACGCCAGAGTCGAGGAAGATACGTCGGGAAATAAAGAAACAAAGCAGGAGAAAGGAAACGGCTCGCCGAAGCAACAATGGACCAACCAAACAAGAAACGGAATTGAGGGGTAAATAGGCAGTAACAACTATATTTCGAGTCCCAATTCACAAAGTCTTGGACCAAATACGAAACCAACCCTATTTCAGAGCTCCAGCAAGAACACCAGGAGAATTCATGGGAAGAAACGTTGGTAGGCGTTGTGCTTACCACAATGAAGAAGGGCACCCAACTCAGGGTTGCAGAGCCCTAAAAGCACACTTAGAAGACTTGGTAAGGCAAGGCCATCTGAGAGATCTTGTTGATGAGGCCAGGACAAGAGAAGAACAGGCAAGATTGCCTTAAGCACCAGCAGCTCCGCCTCCCCCAGCACAACAACCATAGGCAGGAGGACCACGGGTGGTTAATGCAATTCATTCAAAGGTGAACGAAAGCGACATTTGGGGAGAAACCCAAAGAGTAAAACACCTGCAGCACGTGAACCAGGTCGGACATAAAAGACCTCGGCCTCAAGAGTGCCAAGGACCGATGATAGCCTTCACTGAAGCTGACCTAGAGATGGTCTAGCATCCGCATAATGATGCCTTGGTAGTATCCCTCCAGGTTAGGGAGTGCCAAGTGAAACGCATCCTAATAGATCAAGGCAGCTCTTGTGACGTCATGTACGTTAGATGTTACAAGCAGCTAGGCCTTCACCCAGACGACATAGAGCAATCGAATGGCCCGATGGTCGGCTTCAATGGATTGCCAACGTGGCCACTGGGCGCAACAAGCCTGGAAGTACAAGCTGGCACTAAGAAGATCAGGATAGAATTCATGGTAATTGACACACCTTCACCATATAACATCATCTTGGGAAGACCATGGTTGCATGCAATGGGGGCAATTCCCTCAACATTGCATCAACTACTGCGGTTCCCAACAGAACATG